CAAAAACAAACGACTTTTGTTTTTTTTACATCAGACATATAAGATGATGGAAATGGCATGCCCTGCTCCCATAACCAGTCATCCCAAAGAAACGGGCTTGTTTGTAAACAGCTTTGTTCGTTAAGAGATGTTCGAAGGCAAACAAGTTTCAAGTCTACGTTAGAACCTGTCATGTCATGCAATTTAAAAGAATCCCATAACTGTCGTTATTTTTACCTTAATTGTACAGTTCACACTCGTTACTCCAGGCAGAAGGTTCCTGAGCATCACCTAGCACATTATAAAACTCTAATCCGACACCCCTCCATCTAGACGCCAGGTGTTTGTCCTAATACTCAGACTCCAGAGAGCAAGGCCGCTCTGTAGCACATCATGGCTGAGAAGGCCATGCCCACCTCCTCCCCCACACGGTAAGGGGAAGTCCTGGCTGTATGTATTATATCATCCTAACAGATCAGTACCCTTCGTAAAGAAGCCAGCACTCATCAAAAGAGGTGCTCATTCCGTGTAGCACAGACAGGGTTGTAGCTATTCGGGGGCAATATCATCAAAAAGACCTATTTTGGGGTAAACCCATGAAATCAGTTGCAAGGACAGCTACAGTGGTGCAACCACAGCACAGCTCTCTGAGACGCTGAGGCCACGTGGGGAGGTCCCAGGCTTGCACCAGTGATCTTGTGGCACGTGCAGGTCACACACATGCGCCCATAATCATGGCTGACAGGCTATGGGGGGTGGTGTATGGAGACCATGTTGGGGGTGCCTGTGTATGTGTGTCAAGTGGAATAAACAAATTGTTTCAAAAAATCACATGATAAAAAAAAAACTCATGTAAATGTTCTTTCCTAGACAAAGTATATTTAATTGCCCACGCTAATTCACCTGAATACTTCCTGAAGCTAATGTCAGTAAAACAAAGTTGTCTTGTTTTATTTCCTCACCTAGTACCCTAAAACATAGTATCAGAAAGTATATTGAGTCAAAGGTGGGAAATTCTGGCTCTACAGCTAAGTGTTTCTCCATATTTGGCATTCTCTTTAAGAGTCTAGGAGCTTATGGGAATCAGCAGTTAGCATAATGGCTATGTCGCTGGACTCCCATGTAGTCGACTGCGGTTCGCATCCTGGACCCGGAAGCTTAAAAACCCACTGGGCACGTGTGCGTGCGTGCCCAAGATCCCAAGAGGAGAATGGAGGAAAAGGGATTGCGGCGTGACCATCCCCCCGGGGGGTGATTTCTTGCTTTCTGTCTCTATGTCTCTCTCTGTCTGGCGAGCGCACGCGCCCTACAGTGAAAATCTCTCCAAAAAAAAAAAAAAAAAGTCTAGGAGCTTAATAAACACAAAGTAAAACCGAAGATATGGTAGTGATGTCTACTTTATATATTTGGTCATAATTCTACCATTTTAATTAGAATCCCCTGTATCTAAAACACTCCCTTTTACTTACTGAAAGACATTTTAGTGTGGTTTATGTGTACTATCAAATAAAGAATATGTAACACTTTACACATTTATAAATGATTTACAAGGTCAGATGCTTTTAAAAGTCAGTGTGACAAGATTTAGTAGCATGCTAAATTATACCTTTGAATTCTATTATTTAAGTCAGACTAAGTTATATTTCTGGATTGTTAGGCAACTGCTAAAAACCACAGAGAAACTGAAGAACCGCTGTATGTGTGTGATTGGTAATGGTGTTTTTGACAATTTATTAGAAGGATTAAAGTAAAGGAGATATACCATCAGCGTAGATTTGTAAATCATGCCATCATAAGACTTAAGATAATTAAAAACCAAATGAAAGATTTAAAAAAAAAAAAAAGAGTCTAGGAGCTTAGGGACCAGCAGATGGCATAATGGCTATGTTGCTGGACTCCCATGTAGTCAACCACGGTTCAAGTCCCAGACCTGGTGGCTTAAACTCACGCCAGGCATCTGTACGTGCATGCCCAAAATCCCGAGAGGAGAACAGAGAAGAAGGGATTGCGGCGTGACCATCCCCCCTGGGAAGTGGTTTCTCCCTTTCTGTCTCTCTGTGTCTTTCGGGCAAGTGCACCCACCCTATAGCAAAAAAGTCTAAAAAAAAAATAAAAATAAAAAAAGAGTCTAGGAGTTGGGAACCAGCAGTTAGCGTAATGGCTATGTCGCTGGACTCCCACGTAGTCGACCGCGGTTCGTGTCCTGGACCCGGTGGCTTAAAACTCACGCCGGGCGCGTGTGCGTGCGTGCCCAAGATCCCGAGAGGAGAATGGAGGAGAAGGGATTGCAGCGTGACCATCCCCCCTGGGGGGTGATTTCCTGCTTTCTGTCTCTATGTCTCTCTCTGTCTGTCTGGCGAGCAAACGCGCCCTACAGTGAAAATCTCTCCCAAAAAAAAAAGAGTCTAGGAGTTTAAACAGTTCCCCAGGAAGGAAATGTAAGTTACACAGGAGGGAAAGGAGAAGGGAGGAAGAACCACCCAGTCTGTTCCACAGCAGGGAGATGTACGCCCACCATTGTATTCCCCTATGGATTTCTAACAAGCCCACCACAATCACCATCAGTTACAAGAACACACCTGTGCTTAACATTTCAAATAGTTTACTGAGAATCAAAGTAATCTGCACACCACAGAAACAAAAGGTAAAAAAAGTATACACAAGTGTTACAGTAGAGAAAAATCCCAATATAAGAAATAAAATTACTATGCAAGAAATTTAGATATGCAAATAGTTTGAGGTAGCCCACAGAAGTCATCCAGAAACACAGTCTTTAGAGATAGAGCTTTGCTCCCAAACTGGACATTCTGGACCTGCATTGCAGTGGGTAACCTCCAGCCATGAAAGTCCTATGTTTTGAGTGGAGATAGCAGGACACCCATGCCATGGTGACATAGGTCTGTGAGAACAATAGCAGAAGCCTGATAAATGTCTTCAGATGGCCGTTGAGGCCAGTAAAGAGCAGCAGATGTGTTTAAAACAATGTCACCAGTACAGCTGCTTCTGTTTCTGTCATTCCTTAAGCCTTGGTTCCTGCTGCTTAAATCAGTCTTCACAACAGTTGCACAATTTTACTTCTAGACTTGAAATGGCCATAGGGACTCGCCTTCCTGGTTTTCAGGCCTTAGTGAATCACCGCATGTTTGTGCTTTCCCACGGAGAGGAGCCTGGTGTGACTGAGACAAGTTCGGGCACAGCCGTCTCCTCCTTCGCAGGCTTGCCTCTGCGTCTATGTATCCTCCTCCGCCCCCTCCTTTGCGGATACGGAAACCACTCTAGATCGTACAGCTTTTACAGAATGGTGCTGATCGTGGTCATGCTTCTTACAGAGATCTAGAACCTCTTACAAAGTGATTTAGATCAACAGCATCTAAACATTCAACACTTTAACCAATTCACATAACCACTAAAAATTAGCACAAAGGGTTACCAAAATAAGATGGGGAACTCGCCGCCAGATCTGTGATGGGTCCCCATACGTGGAGTGCCCATTAAGGAGGAAAATACCTGGTTTAACTCTCAAAGGGTTTTTTCTGTTTTTGTTTTTGCTTTGTTTTGTTTTCGTAGCACTTTCCTTAAAAGGTTTTTTTCCTTTCTAAAATATTATAAACCATTAGATTTCGGACCTCAAAATCTATCATCATGGGTCAATGGTGACTGGCATTTAACAATAAGTTAAATACATTTTTAAGAAAAAGTCAAGTAAATGAACACTTTGAGCATTACATAGGACACGTAGGCAAATTCAGGGTATAAGGCTCCGACAGGGCTACCCTGCAGCCTAGTAGTTAAAACAGCCAGGTCCCACATGGCCAGCCACAGCTGACGCACCACCCTGGTGGCTTGGAAACCTTGCCTGGCACATTCACTTGCGTGTCCAGATTCCAAACAGGGTAGAGAACTGTAGGGGAAGGGACTGCAGCATGACCACACCCCTTCGGCAGCCTGTCTCTCTCTCTCATATACACACCCTCTAACAATTAAACGGGGGGAGGTCAGGAAGTATTCCAAAAGCCTTTCATTGCTGTTTTGTTACATTTGAACTGGAGAAACTGAGTACGCATGTTTGGAATCTGGACACACAAGTGAAGGGCACAGGGAAGGTCATGGTCTGCCAGGTTGTAGGGGACACTTGCATCCCCTGACCTCAAATCTTGAGGGAATTCTGAAGCCATATCGGCTACTCCAGAAGAGATCTGACATCTTGTGGCTATATACTGCTGTCATTTCTTACATTTTCCTGGTTATTTTGCTAAATAAATTGTCAAAGTCTCCCCTCTGTGAGGCCTATTTGAAAGTATTTTTTCTAAGATTAAAAGAGGAAAATCATTGGGACCAGCAGTTAGCGTAATGGCTATGTCGCTGGACTCCCACATAGTCGACCGCGGTTCGAGTCCCAGACCTGGTGGCTTAAACTCATGCCGGGCGCATGTGCGTGCGTGCCCAAGATCCCTAGAGGAGAATGGAGGAGAAGGGATTGCGGCATGGCCATCCCCCCTGGGGGGTGAGTTCTCACTCTATCTCTCTGTCTTTCTCTGGCTGATGAGCACACGTGCCCTATAGCAAAACCTCTCAAAAAAAAAAAAAAGAGGATAATCATGAAAATTGTATTAAGCACTATACAAGCTAAAATCCTAGAAATATTCTTTGGTTAATAGTAACCAACTGTAGATTTCTTAAATATTACTTATTTGTCAACAAAACCTAAATTTCTGAGCCTGCCAAAGGGGCCTTTCAGACTTTGCCGTCACTCCATTCTCCTCCTCCTCTGTGGAAGACTGAACTTCCCGCTGATCTGAATGACTGACCAGTTGTCCTGTTCCTGCTAGCAGGACCCAGCCATGTGGGAGAGCAATGTGTTCACCTCCAGGAAGTGAGGAACCATCATTCTAAGACAACAATCACAATGTTCTTTTGCTCTGCAAAACAGTCGCAACCAGGAGTGCCCTTCCCATGTGTCCTGCGGAAAGGGACAGATGTGGCTGGATGCGTTCCTTCCCTATCCCCTCTTCTTCCTGCAGGAATATGGTGCCTGGTGTCACCGGAGCCGTATTAAAGCCACAGAGCTTCTAGCAGAACAGGAAGAAGCCAGCAATGCAAGCACACAGAACGGAAAGCCAGGGAGCCCGAGTCCCTGACAGCCCTGTGAGCAATGAAAGCAATTGCTTTTTTTCTTGTCTCTTGCTTTGTAGGAAAAATTAAACCCATCTTTTTCTAAGCCAATGTTAGTCATGTTTTCCAGTAGCTGACGCCAAAGCGCTGTCTCCAGAAACTTCTGCTTCATGCCTGTAAGCCGTCCCATCGGGCAATTCATCATGGCCTCCAACGCTGCACAACTTGCCTATCTTCATATCTTCTGCACTTAACTTTGCATATGGTAAGTGTTTAACAAATATCATACAATGAAGGATGTGAACTGGTTGATGAGATTCTAAGTTTAAATACACAGTCCAGAAGCAGGTCAATCCACGAAAATATATTCACTGCATACCTGTGATGTGAAGACCCGATGCTATAAGTAAGGTAAATTTTGAGCTTTCGTCATTCTATCCATTCCCAAATGATAAACTCTTGTGCTTTGTTTTTGTAAAGAAACAGAAAGCCTTAATGTGAGTTTGATATATGGAGAGGTGATCCGAAGGACAGGAATCAGTCCCCTGTTGTGTATTCTAGAAAGTCTAGCTCTTGGCTGGCACTCAACCAGTATTAAATTATAATAATACTGCTGTGTGGTGTCGCTTAGGCTCCCTGACATTGTTACAACTTTCTACTGTTTTGGAAGGGTGTGAGAGCCTGTAATAAGACCCCCAGGTCTTATTAGGAATATGTTCTGCTCAAATAAAATGGGTTTCAAATTCTGTGTTGGTGTGATTCAACTGCAGCTTGTAACCTTTTACAAAATTTTTAAGAATCATAATACGGCTGTAAATGATTTCTTGCTTTCTGTCTCTCTGTCTCTGGCTCTCTGGCGAGTGCATGCGCCCTCTCAAAACAAAAAGGACAGCATGGGAATCCCTGTGGTGCTAGAAATGCTCTGCAGTATCTCAGCTGTGTCCCACTCAGTATCCTGGTGGTGAGGCACTCCTCTAGTTCTGTAAGATATTGCCATTAGCGGATGCTAAGTCTGGCATCTGACAGCAAGTGGATGAATATGGAAGCTTTAATGCTAAGTGAAGCAAGCCAGACTATGAAAGAGAGGCACCGTATGCCCCCACTTAATATATACCAAATACCTGCGCTCTGTGGTAGAAACTGAACGACTGGAAGGCATAAAAGCATGAGAGCAACTGTGGGTACCAGAGACAGTGTGGGAGGATGGAGGGCAATGGAGGATAAAAGGGAGGAAATCAGGGGAAAAAGAAACATTTAACAGACACAAAAATGGAAGGTGACCTGTTGATGATAACGTGTGTGGTAGTATCTTTGACTGGACTAATGTACAATGTATTCATGCTGGAGAAAAAAAAACAAAAGGATCTCTATATATTAATTATTACAACTGCAAACTGAGGGCATCATTTACCATCCAGCATCCATTACCTATCCTTGTAACAGCCTAATGTGTTTTTAGTCCACATGGTCAGGTGGTCAGGGCCAACCCAGAGCTTCATGGGCAGGCATGTAATTCAGACCTGATCAGTGAACACAGTGATTGGGTCAGAAATGGTCATGCCATTCACACTGGTGCAATAATACTCAACCGAGCAGTTTTATTGAACTAGGAGGGGAGAAGAAGCTCTCCGTACTGAGGTTGCTAAGTTTTGTCTGATGAAAAGATCCAACCAACAGGACCCACCATGTCAAGCATAGCAGTCAGAGATCAAAGCTAGGGCACAAAAAAGCAAAGCCGAAAACTGGAGAGACAGGTCATGATGACAAAGTTTGTGTTCCTGGATTTAATTGTGTCTGAAGCTAGTAAACCCCCAGGGCTTTTCATTTATAGGAATCCAAAATATCCTTTGGGTTTATGGGTTTTTTTTTTTTAAGTTTAATTTCAGAGGAATTTTTGTGAAGATCAGACTCACATTCGGTACAAAACACAGGTAAGTATTTCTGTAAATAATGTTGTAAAGTTTGAAATACTTCGTATCTTAACAAAACATTTTATTATTCTACCAGTAAGAACTTTGTTTTGGGCTTTCATTTCTTAAGTTTAAAGTTGATTCTCCTTTTCTGATCTTAGTGTCCAACTAATTTTCTTGGACAACCAAAATGTTTTAAATATATGTTACATTTTTATTTTTGCTCATTTTTCTGTTGGAATGTACTTTCTTATTGATTTGTAAGAAATCTTTGTATATTAAGAACAGTAGGCCTCTATCTCTTACATACATGGAAAATGCTTTTCTCTCACTGGTCATTTGTCTTTCAACCTCACTTAATGTGTTCATTATATACAGAAGTATTTAATTTTTTGTAATTACATTTTGAACTTTGTTTTTTATGTCTCAATCCTTTCTGTCATGCTTAGAAAGGTTTCCCTTACCTCAACATTATGTTTAAAATATGCCCATATTTTCTTCTATTACTTTTATAGTCCTTTTTAAACATGCATCACTAACGTGAAGAATACTATAGGAAGTACATTTTACCCCCAGACAGCCAACAATTGAACAAACGCTTATTCACTATTATAGTTTTTCCCTGAGGATTCGAGGTGCTCACGTCCTCATGTGCTAAATTTCTGTATCTAGCTGCGTCTGAGCGTAGACATTTTCTTTCTTAACCTTCCGTTTCTCAGCTAGTGCCATATTGTTTTAATTTCCGTAGTTTTATGATGCATTTAACATCTGGTAAGGCAATGATCCTTCTTAATATTTTTGTTTTTCAAAATTCTTCCAGCTGTTCTTGCATGTTTATTTTCACAGTGGAACTTAGGAACATTTTGTCAAGTTTTTTACCACTTTCACTACAAATGGAAATTTTGATTGATATTACAATATATACAGAGTAAATTTAAACAGACTTGACATCTTCTTAAAAATTTAAGATGACTTTTTCTAAGGTATGTCTCTCCATTTCTTTAAGTGTGTTGTCATGGTCTTGAATCTTTTGTCATACCGTCATGTAGAATGTTATCATTCTATTCATCTAGTCCCAGAATATTTCTTAAGACTGTTTCTAGATTTTAGATGTTATTTAGTTATACATATAAATTGAATCCCTTCCCTTCATGTTTTCTATATAAGAACATAGTATAAAAAGCTATTAATTTCATTTATACTATAATCATCTACCTTATTAAATAACTTTTTCTCCAAAAATTTTATAAGTGTGTAAAATATATAATTTTAAAAATGTTTTCAAAGATCAGCTGATTCAAAATAGTTCAGGAAACAACTGGATGATTAGTATAATTTAAATTTTTTTTAAGTGATCTTGGGTTTAAAATGCACACACAAACACAAATGTATACATGAGAATGCTCTGGATTAGGGCAAGTTTTAAATATTATTGGTCTCATACAGCACCCATTGTTTTCAGAGGTCTTCCTCTGCAGGACTACCTTTGTTCTCCAATAAGACCACTCACTTTCCTAGGGATTGCTCCAAACAACCACTCTTTTTTAGTGATCTTCAAAATCAAACATCCCAATTTAAAAATCAGAAAAGAAAAAGCATATCATTCGATGCTTCTGTTACATTTTCTTTTAGCAGTTCATAGCATACGATTAACAATGTATACAAACTTGGCTCTATGGAGACCAGCAGATGTCATAATGGTTATGTCACTGGACTCCCACATAGGCTACCATGGTTCAAATTCTAGACCTAGAGGCTTAAACTCATGCCAGGCATGTGTGCATGCGTGCCTAAGATCCCGAGAGGAGAATGGAGAAGGGATTGCACTGTGGCCATCCCCCTAGGGGGTGATTTTTCAATTTCTGTCTCTCTGTCTTTCTGGTGAGTGCACATGTCCTATACCAAAAACCTTTCAAAAAAAAAAAAAAAAAAAAAAAAAACTTGGCTCTGTGATTTTGTGTTTCAATAATGACTGAAATTCATTAAGCTCTATCTTCCTGGTGGATGTTCTGTCTGCTGAACATCCAGCAGATTCTTTTTATTAGAAATATGATTTGATCTGCAATGTCCTAGAACATGTTTTTCCAGCTATTTGGCTTCAAGCTTATGCTAATTACCAGGCATTATCTCGCAACTTCTCTGCTACATAAGAACATTAAAATCTCACCTCTCCTAGAAGCTTTCCTTGAGGATGAACCAATGGAATTCTCACAGTATTCCCTGCAGGAATATACTCAAGTGATAAGAGTTTTCTTAACCCTTATTTAATAAACTTTATTTTCCATATGTCTTATCTCCCTACACCACTTAAAATTTTCTTTAGAGGAGTAAGGAGGAATTAGTATTTTTGAGCTCCCACAAATTACCAGACTGGTCTAATTGCTTTGAACACAGTTTCTCACGGTAAATATTAGTTCTCACTGCCAGTCGTATCTCCTAAGACAGATACTCCCATGTGTAGCAAATAATAGATGCTTGTTACTTATACAACTGCACAATGATCAGAGTATTTCATTCTGAAATAATTTTTATCTAATGAAACAATACTTTTTTATTTTTATTTTAATTTCTAGTTCTTTTATACATTTGATCATGTTGTTTAGCTTGCAAAATGAATATTCCAAAATGTATACATTTCTCCCCAGTCCAGTTGATAATACCATAAAGTTATCTTCAACAGATAATACCCCATTTCTTTGTCCCATTAATGCTTTGCCTCTCTATTTTTTTTTAAATGTCCTTCCTCTGACTCTGCTCCTTCACTCACTCTCTTGCCACACTATATCTGGTATTTACAACAATTTATTGTGTTTCTATATCCTTTAGTCATTCAGTTGCAGTCATAAAGTGCGGACACTCAGTATATATTAAGTGAGGACATACAATGTCTCTCCTTCATAGCCTGGCTTGCTTCATTTAGTAGTAAATCTTCCATATTCACCCACGTTCTGTCAAAAATGGCTGAGTAGTATTCCATAGAGTATATGTGACATACGTTTTCAATCCATTCATCTGTCATGGGCATTTGGTTGGTTCCATGTCTTAGCAATTGTGAAAAAATGCCATGATAAACATCAATGTGCAAGCACTTTTCTGATTTAAGAATTCTTCTGTCCTTTGGGTGGATACTCAAGAGTGGAATTGCTGGATCATATGGTAGTTCTATTTGAAAGTCTTTGAGGAACCTACAAATTGTTCTCCACAGTGGCTGGACCAATTTACATTCCCACCAGTAGTGTAAGAGAGTTCCCCTTTCACCACACCCCTGCCAACACTTATCATTTTTTTTAATCTTATTCTGAGTGAGGTTAGGTGGTATTGTTGTTTTGATCTGCATTTCCCTTGCAATGAGGGATGTTGAACATTTTTCCATATGCCTATTGTCTATTCATATGACATCCTTAGTGTTTTTTTCATCTCATTCTCCCATCTTTTAATAGGGTTGATCATCTTTTTTCAGAAAAGTTGCTTGAGTTCCTTGTGTATTCTGGTTATCAGACCCTTATCAGATGCATAGTTTACAAAAATATTTTCCCATTCTGAGGGCTGTCAATTCACACTAATTACTGTATTTTTAACCATGCAAAAACTTCTTAGTCTGATATAATCCCACTTGTCTATTTGGGGGATTATTGACTGTGCTTTGGGGGTCTTAAGAAGTCTTTGCCTACCCCAGTATCTCCCAGAGTTTCCCCAGTGTTTTCTAGGAGCAGTTTTATAGTTTGAGGTCTTAGGTTTAGATCTTTGATCCACGTTGAGTTGACTTTTTTCACTTGTGAGGGGTAAGGGTTTAGATCCATCTTTTTGCAAATGGACATCCAGTTATTCCAGCACCATTTTCTGAAGAGGTTTTCCTTTTCCCATTGGATTGACTGGTACCCTTTGTCAAAAATCAGTTGACTTTATGTTTGGGGATTTATTTCTGGGGACTCTATTCTGTTCCATTGGTCCACCTGTCTGTTTCTGTGCCGGTACCATACTGTTTTGATTACCACAGCTTTGTAGTATATTTTGGGGTCTGGGAGTGAGGTGTCACCTATTCTACTCTTCTTGTGCAGGATTACTTTGGCAATACAAGATCTTTTAAGATTTCAGACAAATTTTATGATTGTCTTTTCTAGATGTGTGAAGAATGTGTCTGATACTTTTATTGGGATTGCATTAAATATGTAAATTAATTTGGGTAGAATTGCCATTTTGATTATATGAATTCTTCCAGTCCAGGAACATGGGACATCCTTCCACTTTTTTTGTGTCATTTTCAATTTCTCTTTTTAGCTTCTCATAGTTTTCCTTGTGGAGGTCTTTAACTTCTTTGGTTAGAATTATTCCTAGGTATCTTATACTTTTTATGGCTATGGTAAATGGAACTACTTTTTTCAGTTCTACCTCAGTCTGCCCGCTGTTCATATATAGAATGCTATGGATTTCTGTATGTTGATTTTGTATCCTGCAACTTTACTGTATTCATGTATTACTTCCAGAAATTTTTTCATGGAAACCATTGGGTCTTCTATGTATACAATCATGTCATCTGTGAATAGAGAGAGTTTCACCTCTTCTTTTCATATTTGAATGTATTTTATTTTTTCCTCTTTTCTGATTGAATTGGTGAGGACTTCCAGTATGATACTGAAAAGGAGTGGAGAAAGTGAGCATCCTTGTCTTGTACCAGTTTATAGTGGAAAAGCTTTCAGCTTTTCTCCATTCAGAAAGATGTTCCCTTTAGGTTTTTCATAGATAGCTTTTATTGTGTTGAGAAATGACCCTTCTATGCCAATATTGCTGAGAGTCTTGATCATGAAGGGATTTTTTTGAGAGGTTTTTGCTATAGAGCGCGTGCACTCGCCAGAAAGACAGAGAGACAGAAAGCGAGAAATCACCCCCCGGGGGTGTGGCCACACCACACACCACAATCCCTTCTCCTCCATTCTCCTCTCAGAATCTTGGGCACTCACACATGCACACACACCCAGCATGAGTTTAAGCCACTGTGTCTGGGACTCAAACCGCGGTCGGCTACATGGGAGTCCAGCAACATAGCCATTACGCCAACAGCTGGTCCTGGGATGCTGTATCTTATCAAATGTTTTTTCTGCATCAATTTATATGATAATATGGTTTTTATCTTTCTTCCTGTTAATATGGTGTATTACATTTTTGGTTTTGTGTACGTTGAACCAACCTTGCATTTCTGGAATAAAGCCTACCTGATCATGATGTATAATCTTTTTATAAGTTGTTGGATACGATTTGCTAGTATCTTGTTGAGAACCTTTGTGTCTATATTCATCAGAGATATTGGTCTATAGGTTTTCTTCCTTGTCCTATCCTTATGTGTTTTAAGGATAAGGGTGATGGAGGCTTCATAGAATGAATTACAGAGAGATTCACCCTTTTAGATCTCTAGAAATAACTTGAGCAGAATGGGGGTTAACTCTTCCGTGAAAGTTTTGTAGAATTCAGAGGTGAAGCCATTAGGGCCAGGGATGTTCTTTGTTGGGAGGTTATTTATTACTGATTCAATTTCCTGGCTTGTTATCAGCCTATTCAGACTTTCTATATCCTCCTGGCTCAATCTTGGTAGATTATATGTGCCCAGGAAATTGTCCATCTTATCCAGATTGTCTTGTTTCTTGGCTTATAGAATCTATGGATTCTGTGCCTTTGAATCTGTAGAGGCTTACCTGTGCCCTATCATGTGACCAATCTTCAAAAAGGTTCCATGTGGGGCTGAGGAAAAAGTGTATCTCATGGATTTTGGGTGGAAAGGTCTATAGATGTCTGTTAAGTCCATTTAATTTTTGGTATCATTTAGATCCTTTATCTCTTTACCTATTTTTTGTCTAGATGATGTGTCCAGAGGGGATAGTGGGGTGTTGAGGTCTCCAACAATTAGTGTGTTGCAGTCTATCCCTCCTTTTAGATATAACAATCTTTACTTCACGTATTTGGGTGCTCCTGTGTTAGGTGCACAGATATTTATAAGCGTTATATCTTCTTGATTGATTGACCCTTTTACTACAATACAGTGTCCTTCTTTGTATCTTCAAACAGTTTTTGTTTTAAAGGCTATTCTGTCAGAAATTAGTATCGCAATTACAGTTCTTTTTTGGTTCCCATCTGCATGAAAACCTTTTTACAACCCTTCACTTTTAGTCTATGTATGTCTTTATCCATGAGGTGGGTTTTCCTGTAAGCAATAGATAGAGGGTTTCTGTTTTTTTATCCATTCAGCCAGTCTGTGTCTCTTGAGAGAATTCAATCCATTCACATTCAATGTTATTATTGATATTTCTGGAATTATCCCAACATTTAAGATTGTCTTGTTTGCTTTTTGTTCCTTTATTTCTGTTTCTTGAAGAGCTGGCCTGGTGTTGGCAAATTCTTTCAGATTTTGTTTGGGAAGATTTTAATCTTTTTTTTCCCATATGAAGGATAATCTTGCAGGATATAGTAATCTTGGTTGAAATTGTTTCTCCCTTAACACTTCAAATATGTCTTCCCATTCTTCCCTTGCTTGCATTGTTTCCATTGAGAGGTCCAGTGTTAGCCTGATGGGATGGCCTTTGTAAGTCATGTGTCATTTCCCTCTTGCCAGTTTTAGTATCTTGTCTTTATCTGTGGTCTTTGCCAGTCTGGCTAAGATGTGCCTTTGTGTGGATCTTCTTGGGTTGATTCTATTTGGGGTCCTTTGTATTTCTTGGATCTGGATGTTTAAATGCCTCTCTAGAGTTGGGAAATTCTCTGCCAGGATCTCACAAAATAGATTTTCCCTGCCCTTATTGGTTTTTTCACCTTCTGGGATACCAATTATTCGGATGTTTGGGTGTCTAATGGAACCTATATTTCTCATATATTATCCTCATTTTTTTCCCTCTATCTTTTTGTTGTTTTTTTTCTAAGTCAGAGGTTTTATCTTCTATGTCGGAGTTTCGATCTTCAGCATGGTCTAATCAACTTTTCATACTTTCAAGAGAGTTTTCGATTTCCTGTATTACAGACTTCATCTCTAATAGTTCCATCTGATTCTTTCTTAGAGTGTCCATTTCTTCTTTCATATCATGGAAGGACTTCCTAATCTCCTGTAATTCATTGTCTCTTTTCTGTTTGAACTCATAGAATTTTGTCACCATGAATGTTCTAAATTCTTTCTCTGACATTTTAGTAACTTCCTCTGTTGTTTTGAGAAATGGAGGGGAGTTACTGTGTTCTTTTGATGGAGACACATTTTTTGATTTATTCATACCTGAGGCTCTTCTACTTCTAGCCATTCGAATACCTTTTAGGAGAATGTTTCCTCGACTAGGAGCAAGTGTGCTTCCCTTTTGCTGTAAACTGATGTGTGTGCCTAAGTCTCTCTTCTGTTGGGTCTAGCAATGTGATCTTGGGAGGAGTATTCTTTTCAGGTGTCTGAAGAGAAATATCTCCTTTATCACAAGTAGTTCAGTAAGAGAAAAGATCCCAGGGAGCCTTACAATACTAGGCATTTCAGAACTGGGATTCTAGACCTCTCTAATCCCTCTGGAAGGGCAGAGAATGAGGATAAGAGGGAAGAAAGTATAAAGGAAAATAAAGAAAAAGTCACATGGCATGTGATTTCGCCACAGGGCTGGAGGTGGAACTGGGGCTCTGCTAAGGATTGGAGGCCAGTCTGTGGGACAAGGAGGAGTGGGAAATCAAGGAAAGAAAGAAGAGGGAAAAAACAAACAAACAAACAAACAAAACACCACCTACCTTTCTGAAGGAGAGTGCTATGGGCTGGGGAGAGCTAGCTGGAGCTGGCTAGGCTGGGCTGGGGCTGGGGCCCTGCCTCAGCGTGCCTTGCTGGCTACAGGGCTAGGGATTGAACTCCAAACAATATTTTCTTAACCTGACTGTAAGCTGCCAATTTACCAATCAACATTTATTGTTAATCATAAAACATAAGATAGTTGGTTTCAAAAATTACAAAAAGTCAGTCAGTTGTTTTTAGTGCTGTATTTTCTCAGGTAAATGTCTAGAAGATTCATTTGGTCTTTTATAGTGTTCTTTTGATCAATAATCATTTAATAACATTAGCCACATTCATTCTGTCTAATTTTGCTAAGGAGTTACAGATTAGCTTACATCTGAGTCCCAAATGTATAGGTCAAAAATCCTTCGTGTGTCCATAGAGTGAGACTAAAAATGGCACCCTTTACTGAGCAGCTATTACATGGCAGGTGCGGAGCCAAGTGCCTACTTCTGTCATTCCATTTAATTACCATGCTACCACTAGGCAGGTGCTATTACTATCTTCATTTTAATGATGACCACGCTAAGGCTGAGGGGAGTGAAGTCAGATAACATAAGCCTGAATGGACTCATCCTTCTACACACACAAGGGAAGAACCTAAGAGCCACGTCTCACTGGTGGCAGGCGAGAATTATCTACCTAAAATTATCTGCCTTCCTAATAGACTTTATAGGACATCAGGGAATGTCTGTGGGGAGCTGTTGTGACTGCCAACAAAAGAGACGACAGTGACCACCAGCTGCCCCTGGAAACACCCTTCCAGTGTATGTTAGCATCTCACTGCACTGCACACCAGCCTGTGGCCTCACCGCCATCCTCCTCTCAGAGAGGAAGCCCTCCAGGTCCAGCGTCCCCACTGCTTAACTCAAGTTCACAGACACAGCGGCAGATGGAAAAATTGTCCCAGAGTGCCACAGTCATGGCTTCTTGGAGGTTTACCTGACCCTCAGGGCAGTGTGGCTGTCTCCGTGTTAAAGGAACTTCTGATCTCTATGCATTATGAAATAAGCCTCTCTTAGTATATTTCTGCATGCGCCCTGTTTTTCAAGCCGGATATCAACAGAATGTCAACCAAACCAGTTAAAACATTTCAAACTCTGTACATGAGTTTTAGTGCATTTGACATTCTGAAAAACTCTTAGAGGGGGTATTCAAGATGGAAAAGGTGTATTATGGAAAAAACTATGCATGAATTCCAATTTTCTGTACCAAAATTATTTATGCTTTAGTTTCATTTTTTCATAAATGTTTTGAAGTTTTATAAAATTAGTTACTTGAAAATTATGTAAACATATAAATTGTTTTCACCTGATTATTTTGTATGATCCCAACACACCACTCACCATGGACCAGTTCTTCGAAAGGTTCCAGTGGCTTTCCAAGCACTCCTGCGTGCTCTACAAAGCCTTAGCTGTTTTGGCCCTGTGTTCATGGCAAATACAGCTGTGCTCCCCTTCTGGCCTCGGACTCCCACACAGACTAGGGGACAAGGAACTGGTTGGGGTCGTTGGGCTATGTATCTATTAAATCACTAAACCTGTAATAAGGTAGGAGTTCTGTGTTTTCCTAGATTCTGTAAGTGTCTGTCTGACATCCATTCATCACAGGCCCAATTATATTAGCTACATGTTCTTATTTACTGTAATTTTTTCCCCATAAGGTGTGTACACTCACCCGAGGTGGGGGTGGGGGGGGTGGGGGAATCGCCTTCTAGGGGACAGCCATGCCACAATCCCTTCTCCTCCAATCTCTTCAGGATTTGGAGCATGCACGCATATGCACCTGGCATGATTTTCAAGCTGCAGGGTCCAGGACTCAAGCCACACAGTCAACCATGTGGGATCCAGTGCCTTAACCTCCACATCACCTGCTGGCCCATTTGCTGTATTAGTAATGCTCTGGCATTTGGGGGCCTTACAGACCTGGGGAAAGACTACCCTTTCTAGGACTCACCAGTTCTGGAGAGAGCAAAGAATATGGCTAAGAGGGCCTCCCGTCCCAGCCAGCCGACCCCATGCCTCTCTTCAACCTGTTTTTCTCTCTCTCACAACCCGAACCAGCATTTCCCCTGCCCTAAATCACCCCAGTTCCCCAGCAACTAGAGCCTAAAGCCCACTGAAATTATCAAGCTGGCCAATGCTAAACTATTTTCTCTGCCATGCCTTGCCATGCCCACGTAACCCCAGGGAAGGCTGTCGTCTAGATTCTCCGTCTGTTCTCATCTTCTGCTTCTGGGCACATCAGTGCTTTCCCCTGCGGCCACACAGCATGCGGTGCTTCCCTCTCTGGGCCCTAGGAGCACACCGTCATAAACTCTCCCAAGCCTCACTTACGTTCTCTGGCACTGCACTGGCTTTACCATGCCCCAGCCAACACCACAGCGAGAACCATGTTTACCTCATTCTGGGGCAGTGGCGCCAAGGCACAGAGAGCTTAAACGATCAGCCCAAGATAAAATGACAAGCAGGCTTCCAGGGCAAGCAAGCTGCTCCAGAGAGCACAGACAGCGGGGCACTACTGTGTTCCCTGCCCCTCTCCACAGGCCCCATGGCTTTCCAGCCTCTGCTGCACCCAGAATAGTGCTGTGTGATTTTCTACAGTCAGCAGTGGGCTACAAACCTACTTGCAGTGGTGCACCGTGTTCTCAAAAACCAGCAGTCGTAGACTTCAGTGCTTCAGTTGACGGTCTACTCAGGTTTGCTACCACAGATTCTAGCTGGATTTTAAATTTTGCCCAGATTTCTCATTTCTAACTTTTAGATTGCCTTTTTATTTTCTTTCTACAAAATGCATGTGCTTGACAGAGAGAGACAGAGAGGGCCAGGAGAAAGCACCTCCCATGGGGCATGGTCAATGTCGCAATCCTTTCTCCTTCGTTTTGAGACAAAAATACCCTGCAACATACACACACACACACACACACACACACACACAAACACACGGAACAGTCACACCCCAATCCTTTCTCTTCCATTTCTCCCTCCCTTAAGGATTTTGGACTCACACACATGCATCCAAGCATATTTTTCAAACTGCTAGGCCTAGGTCTTGAACTGCAGGGAAAGCCGTATGGAATCCAGCTACTTTATCCATCCGGCCACAGGCTAGCCCATCTAGCCTCTAAATTTCTACACCCTTGTCTATTCCGTTGTCTCCCTAGTTATCTGGCCAGAAATATCTCTCCGTGTTCTTGCCCAACACTAACACAAATCTAGTCCGTCGATTGTAATGTCTATAGAGGAAGGAAGAAGTCAAGCAGACCACACGCAAAGTGCTTTCGCACAGACAGGCACTGGGATGTTTGGGGGGGTAAGAGCTGTCCTTTACCCACATTGAGGTCACCTGGACATTAAAATGCCAGCATTTCTACACCCACCATCAACACACTCAGATGAGAGGAAGGGATTCAAGGGGAAAAAGAAAGACGCAAAACATTGCTGAATTCCCACATAGGCGACCATCGTTTGAGTCCTGGACCCAGTGGCTTAAAATGCACGCCAGGCACATGTGCATGTGTGCCCAAGATCACAAGAGGAGAATGAAGATGAGATTGCAGCATGACCATCCCCCCGAGGGGTAATTTCTTGCTTTATTTCTCTCTGTCTCTGGTGAGTTCATGCACCCTATAGTAAAAAAAAACTCTCTCGAAATAAAAAAAAAGGAAAATGATCTGTTGATAACATGTATGATAATATCTTTGGACTAATACACAGTGTATTTATCCTGGAAAATTCATTTCAGATGAATATTATAATGTAATTATATGCAGTGACTATATATTTAAAAAGAACATTTGAGATCAAATAAATTAATTTAATAAAAACAAACTCACTCCCGGGATTTGTGCTCTATTTAAGTAAGCTAATCTAGGGAACCAGCAGTTAGCGTAATGGCTATGTCGCTGGACTCCCACGTAGTCGACCGTGGTTTGCATCCCGGACCTGGTGGCTTAAAACTTACGCCGGGCGCGTGTGCGTGTGTGCCCAAGAACCCGAGAGGAGAATGGAAGAGAAGGGATTGCGGCTTGACCATCCCACCTGGGGGGTGATTTCTCGCTTTCTGTCTCTATGTCTCTCTCTGTCTGGTGAGCGCACACGCTCTATAGCAAAAACCTCTCAAAAAAAAAAAAAGTAAGCTAATCTAATATAATGAAGTGAGATATTATAGCCCCAAGATTTGGTAAAGAAGAAACCAGGACAGAGGTGATCAGCAGTAGATTGGGTCAGTTCACCCAGAGAAATAGACCTCTGTGTGATCCCAGACCTCTGAGTAACCCCCACACCCATCAGTAGACCTTAGATGAACTCACCCTCCCCAGGACACATACAAGGGACTTTTAGATAAGAATTCCCATGTTTGACCTCGATCAAGATCAGGAGTCGGGTGAGAACGGTTTCTGGCTAATGGATGTACAGCTGCTTACAGGGATCAGTTTTGCCTTCTGTATATTCAGCTTTAGTGCTAATAAGAAAATGTGTATTTCTAATAAATGTTTGCCAGTGCCAGTGGAAAGATAGAGTCTGCTCAAGAAAACTGCCAACGTTGTAGTTTCGTGCTTCCAAGAAGAGCTAGAATCACACCCTCCAGTTCCCCGTGCACCCTCTGCATGCTCCGAACCAGGCAGACGCACAGACAACCGAGCGGAGTGAAACAAGGAGCTGCGTAACCGGCTCCCCTTCAATACTCTTTCAGACATGCAGAGAATGGAGAGCTTTCATTAGGGCGGCAGAGAGCAGTTCATGCCTGGGTGCAGCGTATTTTGGGGACCTCTAAGAAAGGTAGGCTGGCCAAAGCCTTGACAAAGCATTGTGTTCAGACCCAGGGCTTGCCAGCCCCCAGCCCCCCAGCCCCAGGTGTCTATGCAGGCTTGACCCTGCTCCCCTCATGGCCACCCTTCTCCTCCAGTCCCCAAGTCTCAGGTGGTGAACACTCAGGGGCAGGACTCGGAGTTCCTTCCTGGACCACCTTCTCCCTCTGTCTCAACTACCAGGGTTTAGCAGGGAGAAGCAGAAATTCTGAGTCCGACTTCTGTATATTATCCTGATAGATCATCCCAAAGCGTACACTCAGGGAAAATAGTCATAAAAACCCAATTTTCCATCCCTAGAAACATCAACCCAGCCCTACTAGCAGATCATGTGATCCTAATCTTAACTGACAATTTCGCAACTAATTCCAGACTCAGAATTTATGGGGTAGGAGTCATAATCTCCACCTCTTCAAACTTTAACACAGCATTGGCAAAAGGACCAAAAATAAAAAATATAAAAACATAAAACGTGTAACACCTGTGCGGTGTGTGGTTATACTAAAGAAAAAAAAACTCATCCAACCTAAGTGTCACTGCGTCCAAAGTTTACTTCCTGGTAACAGTGGGTGGAGCCACACACCTTCATTCTGCAAGAATTTCACTTCATTGTTGAGCCCTCAGAATCTACAGCAAAAATCTCGCTCAAAAACAAACAAACAAACAGATTCCCCGTCCCAGCACAGACAACACGCACCACACTAGCGCCACATCTTAGGTGGAAAACAACCCAATGATGGGTACCGACGAAAACCGTCTGTCATGAGGCATCACACTGTTGTTTCAGTAACAAGACAGGGACTGTTTCATGAAGCGTGCCTTGACAATAAACAGCAACAATAAAATTTACTCTTTTGGGCTCCACTGGACATTGGCCACACATCCAGAGCGCTGAAAATTAAAACTGGAAATCTTTCATTGTGAATGTACAAAAGAAAAAAAGGTAGAAATTTTTGAAGAAAGATCCAACTATATTTTGGTCATAATTTTTTTAAATGGGCTTATTCCCGATGCAAGTATGTAACCTGGCTGAGTGACTGCCAGTCACATGCATTCACTTGGCGTCTCTGCTGAACGGGATCGTGAGTTCTGAAACACCTGCGGGGCCGTGATGCTTCGGGAGGACGAATTCCAGGGGCTGTGGTTTATTACCCACAGCAAATGCCAGGAGGAATGAAGCATTTACCTGCCTAAGTACTGCCGCAGTATGTGCATCCCAAGCTTGAGGACACTGCTGTGCTCTGAAAATGTGTTGAAATTCTAACCCCCAAGGTGATGATATTAGGGGGTGGGCCTGGGAGGTGATTAGGTCCTAAGAACGAAGTCCTTATGAATGGAATTAGTGCCCTGTAAAAGAAGGAGCAGCCGGCAGCATTTTAGTTCAAGCCCTGGGTCTCATAGCTAATGCACGGCTCAAGTCCTGGACCCATCCACACATGTCAGATGCATGTGCGTGCCCAAAATTCCAAGAGGAGAATGAAGAAGAGATTGCAGCGGGCCACTTCTCCTGGGGGCTTCTTCTCACTTCCCCTCACTCTCTCTCAGTCAAGTGCATGTGCTCTCTAGCAAATTAAAATTTTTTTTTAAAAAGTATTGCACCTTGTAAAGATGTGCATTGAATATGTGTAAACCAGAAATCATAATTTCTAAAAATGAAAACAGAGCTCCACAGCCTTCCACCTTGAGAGCATGCCGCGAGAAGTGCCATCTCTCAACCTGGAAGTGGGCCCTCATGGAACGCCAATGTTTTGATCTTGGACTTCCTGCCTCCACAACTGTGGCAAATCAATTTGTCTGGTTTATAGGCCACACTGCTTGCGGCATTTGTTATAGCAGCTTGCATGAACTAAGACAGGCTATTGAGAA